CTTATACAAGTTTCCATTCACGTATAAAAGAGCATTTAATATTTTTGAAAAAAGTGACAAAAGAGAAATTGGCTGGTAATTTTGAATTTCATTTTTGTTCCCTTTTTTAAAAAGTGTCTTAATTTGTTTTGTTTTGAAAATACGTGGAAATATTTCTGTACATAAAGAAGCATATAAAATGTGAGTTAACGGGTGTATAAAGACAGGTACACAAGTTTTCAATAAAAATCCGAAAATTCATCGAAAACAGATGAATATTTTTTAGTTTACTGACTATTCAAAGGATTTCGTTAGAAGTTTCGGAAATAAACTTTGTGTCGAACATATTTTGGCAAGGTAATGATATTGAATTTTGTGGTCCCTTTGTGAGTTCAGCCGCAATTCTAGAAAAGAGTTGGTTTTAGAGATTTTTGCCACTTTTTCCGGACTACTTGCTTCTCATTCAACATCCTTTAAAGCAACGTTATCTACTAAGTATCGAGATGACGTGGTCGTATTTTTTACGATATTTCACATTGCTTTAGTTTTGTTACTTGCTTTCAAAATATCCTGATTATTTTTCATTATTTTTGTCTGAACTATTACTTTCCGTAAAATTATTTTGTACTCTCGGAAATAGACATGGAAACCGGGTGATACGTTATGATGTTTAGAAATAAAGTGAAGCGCAATACTTTTATTTTACACGATGTTCTAATTCCTAGTTTTACTTTTCCGTGAAATGTTTAATTTTCTCTTTTTGTGAGGAAAGCATACGTTAAAGTAAAATGAAAGCTTTGAGAAAATAGATTACATTTTTCATTTGTGTCAATGGCGTTGTAAACAGTGTCCCATTATTTCTACAGCGAGTTGTCCGTAAATAATTTTATGTTAATTTTAGCGAACGCACACGCGCACACGCGCGTGTAGTGTTCGCATGGGATGACACGCTACATCTTTGCGACGGGATGACACGCTATACACACACGCGCGCGTGTAGCGTGACATCCCGTCGCAAAGAGGGCAAATTTCGCATTTCCGGTATTTTGGTAAAGTTTCCCATTTCCCTTATTAGATGGTGTCTGAAGAGCAACAAAATTTCTTTTCGGATACTACTGAGCAACAAAAAAGCGACAAAGTCCCATGTAATTATTTTTAATTATCTCTGTAATTTCTTGGTTTTCTGGTGATTGCGTTGTTAACTTGATGCCCAATATGCTGATTGTTTATAGCAGTGTCAAATGAAGAGCGACATTTTTTGCGTAAAAAAATTAGCAACAAAAAGCGACAAATTTTTGAGTTTAATTCCACTTTTTAAAAAACCTTGCAATGCTAATTTTACGTACCTCGCGAGGAGGTAGTTCGTGAATTCCAAATTCGACGCGGCACTGGAACTGTGGTTTGCAAATAGACAACTTTGCGAATGCCCTTAAGAAGTGTACTAATACTGATTGGCTCGCTTGCTTGCTGCCCTTTTTCACGTTATACTACCCGGTCCATCTCCTCTATCGCTGCTACTAATCATTCTTGAGCCACCAAGTCACCTCAATTTTCGGGTCTTGTTCGAAGAAAGTCCAGGTAAAAATCGGAATTATTTGGAAACACAATTTTTCAAGATAAATTCAGTTCCATACTTTGTTTATAGAGGATACGAGAACGTCTGCCCCAATTATAGCATCAGTAGTGAGATTTGTGAAATATAAATTAGCGATGCTGCAGAATGGCACAGACTTTCTCTATTTCGTTCACTTATTTCTTTGCTCTGAGTTATATTTTCGGTTTTACTCCACCCTCTTGCCAGCTGCCATCAATTGCCACATAAAAATATTTTTTACACATTTTTTCAATTTTTCGGCCCCTTAATGATGGAACCGAAACATGACTAAGAATACTATAGAAATGTAAAACCTTGTCATACGAAGGACAGTCAGAAAGAAATGCCTCCGAATTTATTACATATTTATTTTTCAAAGAAAAAAGGTGAAATTAATATGAGTTTATCTATCAAACTTTCTTTATAAATAATTTATTATTCAAAATATTCTCCTTTTAATTGTAATTTTTGTCCATCGTTGAACGAGAGCGTGTACTCCCTGGCGGTAAAAATTGCTGTCCTGCTTCCGCAGCCATTGGCGCACGACGTTCCTCAAACTTTCATTGTCTGTTTTAAGACAAATCATTTTTATGATGTCCGCGCAAGCTTCCTTTTGGAGGTGCGATAAGTGAGAAGGAGCAAAGTCTGGACTGTAAGGAGGGCGGACAAGAACCTCCCACTGAAATTCTACAATTGTTGCAGTTGTGAGCAGAGAAGTGTGAGGTCTTGCATTATCGTGGAGAAGAAGAATATCAGACTGCCTCGCCGTAGCACGAATTCTCCGGAGGTGACCTTTAAGCTTCTTTAATGTATCCACTATCGATTGGAGTTAATTGTTCCCTGCTTCAAAAAGTCCATAAGAATCATCTCTTCATTCCAGAACACAGTAGCCATAACCTTTCCTGCAGGGGGTGCACTTTTGGGTTCCTTTTTTCGGGGTGACGTGGAGTGTCGCCATTCCATTGACTGACTCTTTGTCTCTGATTCAAAAAAAAAAAATCCATGTTTCGTCACCTGTGACAATTTTTTATAAGAACTGTTGACCTTCAATCTTATAAAGATGCAAGAGATCAGTGGCTATTGTTTTCTTGCATCTTTATTGGATTGTGTCAGTATTTTGGATACCAAACGAGCACAAACTTTTGAATAACCGAAGTGTTAAATGATAGCCATTACACTACCTTTTCCTATTGACATTACAAAACACAATTCACTCGTGGTTGGTTACCCGGCGATTTCCTCGAATGATGTCACCGACGCGCTGGATATTCTCTGCAGTCACCGTTGTGTATAGACGAATGCTTTGCGATGTTCTGCCACGTCAAGAAGTTATTCGTCTCCGACTTCTCTGCAGCCCAAAAACACCGCCGAACACTGCTAACATCCACTCAGTGGCGGCTCTGGGATTAGGTATCAGGGAGGGCACCCAAAGTTACAGGATCAAATAAAGTTAGGCATTTGAAATATTATTATATTTGGATGGTTTAAGTCACATAAGTAAAATTTACAATCGAATTTTCTCCCCGGAAGACAGGCTAAACACATGATCTATAAATTAAATTGAGTCTTCTGTTTTTACATTCTGTAAATCTATTACTAATTATTTAAAATTAAATGAGTCTCGTAACAAAACTCTTTATAATGAAAACATACAAAGTCCATTTAATCTCTCTTCCGACATGGTATTTCTTAAAAATGTGTATAACCCTTCCAAAGTGGAAAAAGCTCTCTCGGATTCTTTTATATAGCACATCCAGCTCAGAATTCAGTTTGCTAGCTCACGAACGGAGAGAAATGTGAAACGAGATCAACACTTTGTAAGAGGAATTTTTCTTGATATTGTTGGAACATTTTACAATCAAGGAGGGAACACATGGATAAATTCCCCCTAAAATTAATATGGTCATTTACCCCTTTGACGTTTCCGTACAAAAGAACGATTGCCATTTCTCTCAGATTGTAAAATTTGTATATCAGGCCGAGGTGGTCCAATTCTCTTCATGCACAGCCTTGTATCATAACTACATTGACTGTTTTCAGGCAATTTTTACAGAATTGCAAACCATTCTCGTCTCAATGCACATTACGAACTGGACGCAAAGATCGGAACACAGCATTCACATAGTTTGTCTACGGATCGGAAAGATGATGCGACCATGCCGATTACACATTACTGCATGCACTGAATGCTTGCGAAAAAGGAGATCAGTTAAATAGAATACCAAGCAGATAGCACTGACCTAGACGTAAATCAAGCGAATAGAATATTGTAAGTTAAAAATTGATGAATAGAAAGCGCCGGGCAACGAGGTTGCTACCTCCCCTGTCAGGCTGCTGGGCGGCGTTCACAAGACGCCATTTGGCGACCCTACGTTGCCAGTCGGGAAAGCTTGAACTCACTGCAGTTCCCCCCCCCACCCCTGAGTCTAGCCTAACGGTGACGTCACGGCTGGGTGTTTGCTATTGGCCAGCCAAAACTAGCACTACTCTTGACCTGCGACTCATCCGTGCGACTTTTCCAACGTTCTCTGCTTCCTGTGTGTACTTCCGTGGTTTAAACGTCGTCAGAGCGACGTCAAGTGGTGACGTTTGTTTCTGATTGTAGGTTTGTTCCAGCAAACAATCACGGACTGTTTTACGTACTCTCACTCTGCGCATGCGGAGTGCAAACTAGTCAGAAACTAGTCCCCGGATTGGGATCTGCTGGAACAAGTAGGTACAAAAATCAGTCTCTAGGTGCCGCTGCTTTTCGTTTCATCGGTAGTTGCAGAATTCTCCGCCAGATATAATTTTCGTGACGCATGTAAAAATCAAAGCGACCTGACCCTGGTTAGTTCCTGCGTATTCACTTGCGCTTTACGTTTCTCCATAATTGCTCGCTTATTTTCTTGACCTTGCTATCATTACAGGTTTTTGAACCTGGTAAACTGTGACTTCGCTATTGTTTTTGACTATTCTTTGGTTTCGGTTATTTGTATTTTTCTTAAAAATGAGACATAACGCTACCAATACAGAACGGTAAATAACTACATACATATTTAGTTAGTCACGGTACAAGGAACTTCCTTAAAATTACTTACCTTCCGTTTTCAAAAAAAAGAACAAATATCAAGTTCCAATATCCGTAAGAAAATTTAAAAGATAGCTAACTTACCAAAATCCAGAATCTAGATTTAGATTGATTTAGTAAATAAAAGTAAAAAATTGTATATGTGACGTATGGGGGAAAAGATGATCTGCGCATGTTTTCTTGAGTTCAGAATCCCTCCCATCATTTAACTATAAATAAATAAATAAAAAATTTTAAAGAAGCGCGGGTTAGTAATACTTGAAAAAAAACTAGAAAATCAATGAAACATAAAATAAAGTAGGGTCAAATTCCAATATTCACGAGAAAAATCCGAAAGAAAGCGAAATCACCGAAAACCAAGAATCAATAAAATGTAAAACAAAGCAGGGTCAAAATATATAGAGCAGAATATAAACCCACGATGCAGAAACCTGATGGAAACGTGATGGCGGTCGTCGCAAGTTTGGCGTTGGCGGGAACTCGGGGACCGAAGTACGCATGCGCGGATTTCTAGTTTGAGGGAGAGAGCACGAACTGATTCGGACTGTTTCGGACTGGTTTCAAACTAATCAGCAACCCTGCTGAAGAACGCCGGTAACTCCAGTCACGCAGTCCGCTGACTGCTGCTGCCTGGAAGCGCCAAATACTAGGCTGCGCATGCGCGCGACTAGTTCGGGAACTGTTTCGAACTGCTGCTGGAACAAACCGGAACAAACCTACAAGGTTTGTGGTGTATGAACCCGTCTCCACCTGATAACTTCCAGTGGCAGTAAAATCATATTATCTGTTGCAGTGTAGTGCTGAGAGAATATTAGTGTAGTTATTAGGATGTTATTGTTCAACATAAAATCTATTCTGTTAAAATAATTTTCTTTAAAAATCACATAATGTAGGTTTAGACTGACAGTAGAATGAAACCAGCAAAAAGAAATCCATTTTTACTTTGGAAGAGTCACTTGTTTCTTGTTGCAATATTTTTTGTAATTATTTTGGCTGAAATAAATCCAAAATTGGGCGAGAAAGGAGGTGAGTATTACACACAAAAGTGAATAAGAAAGAATATTCAATGTTTTAATAATTTAGTGTTAAATGTAATGCTATTGCATTTTTTCACTAGGTATTCTTCGACCAGAGATAACGGTTGAATATGGAGCTGTGTCAACAATCTTTCTAATTAGCGGAATGTCAATGAAATTAGAAGATGTATTCAATGCTGCTAAACATTATGATCTTCACATTTTTGTGCAAACGTTTTCTTTATTTTTTGTTCCTATTTTTGTTAAGTTTTTAACAGTGTGTCTTTATCAATTCAATGTAGATGAGTGGATTCTTAAAGGGTAATGAAATGGTTTTCCTGCAAATGGTATTGATAATTATTTACATTTATAATCACCTATGACTATATACATTCATTCTTGTAGGTTAATAGTTGTCAGCTGCATGCCACCTTCTTATTCATCTGTTGTTATGGCTAGAGCTGTGGGTGGAAATGAGCCAGCAGCAGTTTTTAGTTCAATACTAGGAAGTGTTCTTGGCATTTTCACTACTCCTTTTACTTTACTGTTTTTTGTAAGTAATGATTACATCATTAATACAAGTATTTATTAACCACACTTTACGAACAAAAGCATCTTGTGCATTTTCAGCTCCATGCAACAGCTCTGGTTCCACCATTTTCTACAATAATTGATCTAATTTTGACTGTTACATTACCTTTAGCAGTAGGCATAATTTTTCATAAAGTAACAAGTCTGAGGATTCCGAATAAATGCATGGAAAGAATAGGAGAATTTGCGCTACTATTACTCATCTACACAACATTCTGTGACATGTTTATCGCTCATGAAAATGTGGCATTACAACCAATGAGCGTTGTACTTACAATATTTCTGGGTATGTTTGTTTTTAATTAGTCCCAAGTCCAAATACTGATGTGGATGTATGTTTATTGAAGCCAAGACCTTTTAAGTAATGAACATTAATGTTTTTCTTTTAGTGGTTCTCATTCAAATAATTCTTTTGTACCTAAGTTTCTTGTCAGCAACAAACTTAATTACTTGTTTTACTCCAGCTGATATAGCAACAATTTTATTCACTTCAACACATAAATCACTAACTCTTGGTGAGTTTGATACTGGAAATCTGTTTTGTGTATTTTATAATGTTTCAAAAATATAATTATATTTTTTTTTTAGGTATACCCATTTTACGAATCCTCTATGCAGGATACAATCATTTATTTGCAATATCTCTTCCTCTCATGGTATATTATCCAATTCAGGTGATTTTGGGAGGACTTCTTGCAGGAGAACTACAAAGTTGGATGGCTAATACAAATGTTCAATAGACACCAAAGAATTCTGTGAATGGTCATTCAAAGAGTACAATGGGCCACAATTATTTTGTGCTTAAAGAAAATTTTTTGCAAGACGCTTATGAGAAAACATATTTTCTATTGCTCAGTATCAAGAATATTTTCAAATACTGGTGCATGAAGACAAGTTGTAGCAATTCGATATTTTGATTTCCTAAACTACAGGCTAAATTAAAACCGATATTCCAAAAAAGTAGTTCATGATATAAGAGCCCGAAAAACATTCTTGTAGATAATAAAAATAATTTTGCCTTCATATTTCTGCTTCCCATTTAGCTTAAACAATTGAAGCTTGCAAATTGGTAATTGTAAAAAATGGTTTGTGTTTATTTGTTTCTCTTGCTCAAGAATCGTGTATTATGGCTGTACTTTTGTTGTAGCTGATCTAGCATTACGCCAATGATGCAATCTCTCGTGAAGTTTCCAAAGGTGTTTTGACCAGTAGATTTGATCAGCAGAAATTCAAAGAAAAAATTACAAATCTTATGACATGGATAAACATGCAAGTCAAATGTTAATGGTTACCAATATACCCCAAAATTACGTTGGCCAAATGGGATAGAATGGCATAAAAATCTATTTTTTAAATAAATTTTAGCTGTAAATGGTAGAATTCATATTTATTTTATAAAATCATATTATTTCTAAAAATCAAAACTCTGACAGAAAATCTTTTGTTCAAGTTTGACACCAAACCTAATGGTGAATAAAAGATTTAGGGCCTGTTTCACTGGTGCCAGATAAAGTGTCTGATAGCCTATCCAGAAGTTATCTAATAGATATGTTGAAAATTTGTGTTTTACGAGTGCCAGATAAATCTATCTGGTGGTTAAAGTGTCCGGTAAATTATCTGGAGGTTCGAGAGGCAGTTAAATATTTATCTGGTAGATAATTCCAATATAAATTTGCAGTGTATTGTGTTTACGGCTCTTGTGTGTAAACTTCAAGGAGTGTCGGTGGTATTTCAGTGATGGAAGACATGATAGAGATGATAGATGACGAATTCGACGAGCTCTTTGATCATTTAGAGCATTCGCACAGACAGCGTGTAATTCGAGATTGGCCTGAGTATTTTGAAATTCTCGACGATCATGATTTCAGATCCCGTTTTATATTAACAAAGCCTGCGATGGGCAAAGTTCTGTTTTTGATAAAACAGAAAATAAAAACAACTGGTTTGTGAGTACTGAGTTATATTATATTTCTGCATGAATTGGTCCTGCTAAATTAATTTTATGTCAAGATAATAAAATGTATACATTGTGATTTGTTAGTATGCAGCAGTTTCACCAATGAATCTACTTCTTCTCACACTACGTTAATATGCAACAGGATCATATTTGACTGTTATTGGAGATTTCAATGGGGTGAGCAAATCTACTTCTTCAAAAGTAGTAAGTCAAGTGTGTCACATCATTCCGGAATTAAGACCTATATTTGTAAAATTTCCAAAGAATATAGGAACTATTCAACAAGATTTCTACGATGTTGCGAGATTTCCTAGAGTTCTGGGAGCAATAGATTGCACACATGTTCCCAAAGAATCACCTGTTAATATGTAACGTACATTTCTTGTGTAAGAGAAGTGACACCTCAAAAATATTATTTGTAGGAGAGTAGTTTTAAGTTGAGTACTGTCGATTTTAGGGTTCTACTCTGCATAATGAGTGTTTTGTCAATTATTATTATTATTATTGTTGTTGTTGTTGTTATGATGGAATTTTTTCTAATACAAAATCTGCTATTTTCTATACATCTTCATATTTCTTCCCCTAACAAATTATTTTTGAGATGTAACTTCTTTTTCATGTCAATGATTGCTGCTTTATTGTTAATTTTACTTGGAACCTATTCTAAATTGTTTTATTAATTAGGTAATATAATTTCGCAAATTATTTTTGTTATTTTGTATTATCCTATCACAATGAAATGAAAATATTTGGTCACAAACTCAAAATTGTCAATTTAGTGTGTGAATTGCATTCTCTTTAATAAATAGCGCTTCAAACTGTAAATATCTTTGCTAATATATTTTGTAATGTTTTCTGTAGGTGGACAAAATCCAGAATTTTACAGAGACAGAAAAGGAAACTTCTCCATTAATATCCGAACAATTGCAAATGCAAAATTGATGATAATGGACATAGTTGCCAGGTGGCCTGACTCCTGTCAAGACCCGGCAATTTTCAATACTTCTTTCATAAAGCAGAGATTATTGGACAAAGAGTTCGGGGAAAATTTTATTTTAGGTGATAAACGCTATGAAAATAATAATTTTCTCCTAACGCCTCTCCATAACCCATCAACTGGTGCGGAAAACGTGTGCAATAAATCGCACATCAAAACAAGAAATGTAGTGGAGAGGTCAGATGGCGTGTAGAAAAGCAGATTTCTAGTTTTAATCAAAAAAATAAATGTTCACTTGTCAAAAGTACACGCAATTATTGTTGCTTGTGCAGTATTTCATAATATTGTTACTAATATGGGTGATGACCACTTCGAGATACAAGAAGAAGATGATGATAATAATGGGAATGTTACTAATAATAGTCAAAATTCAACCTGGAATAAGTTGATAACAAGATATTTTTCTAATATTCTAATTTCTAAATATTCTAATTAAAAGGTATTCTTTTTCTAATTCATGCATTTCCATTTTCTTTTTCTTCTCTAATTCATGCATTTTCATTTTATTCTTCTTCTCCAATTCCTGCATTTCTTTTTTGTGCAGTATCGCATCTTCAGCTAGTTTCTTTTGTGTATTTGCCACTTCAGTTTAGTTTCCGCCAGCATCTCAAATGGCATTTTTTCTTTTGGTTTTCCTATCAATGATATAATTAATGTATAGTACACAAGGATAAGATACGTGGAGAATTGTGGAAATAAATAAGCCTACTTTGAAATATATGAATTTTATTAGGAATGAAATGCATTGTGTTATAGTGGATTAAAGGCTTTAAATGAACAAAAGAATAATAATTTGGGGTATCAAGAAAATAAAAGATTGTTTATGAAATAGTACACAATATGTTTTTATCTAATACTATCATTTTACAGAAAACAATGTTATAGATGAGGTATTTCACTTAATTGAACAGTAACATTTAATAGAAATAGTGAAGTGAGAATGTAAATATTTAAAAATACTAACATAAGGACAGATGCTTCCTTTTTCGTAATATAAGCAGAATTTCACGACTTTTGACAATCATAATTTTCTTGGAGTGTGACTAGGCTTGATGAACATCGTTGTATATCAGCTTCACCTTTAAAAAAATAATTTAATGGCAGAAGTATTTTTGTAATGTAAACATAATGATAAGTGGGAATAACAATAGAAAGTAATATACCTTGCATATTAATATGAACACAGATTAATGTATATAAAATATATTTATTTTCCACATAAGAGAAAAATGAACATATACAAAACGTTATTAATTTTTAATAACAAGGGCGATTTCTAATGAAATGTCATCTTTTTTCATTTAACATGTCCATTGTAATCGAATGTTCGAGATGATGCCTATGCTGCTGACCTGCACTCGTCAACATCGTGCTCTGGACTTGTGAGAACCGCGGCAAACAAGTTTAGAAATCGCTACAAGTGAATGACCAGTAGTTCACAAGTGAAATTCTACAAGAAACAAGTGTTTCTGTTTCTCAGAAAAGTCTAATACAACTGAGAGGTTCAGATGCCAAGCACTACATCAAATGAAAAGTTTTAGTATGAACAATTAATGTTTTTATCAATTAGAAAGTCTATACTTTTTTCAGTATATTTCAAATAGTCATTCATTTTTTATAATTAAGGGTACATTTTCAGCACTTTATAAATATATTTATGAAGGTCAATGTCTCTCTCACTCCCATTAAAAAAAAAAAAAAAAAAAAAACACTTTATACGCACTTAGTCACATTACCAACTGAAAGGTTAACAGAGTTCTGAATTTTATTGACAAAATATTCTGAAGGTTTCTAAACAATATTTTATTAAACAAATACATGCAGAACAATTTATTTTTACTAGAAAATATACTAGTGTTAGTGTGTGTAAGTAATTAAACAATACTTAAAATAAAAGAAAAATTGCCTGAAATACAAATGTTTATTGCCTCTATTCTGCGTAAGTGATGCAGTGGTCATCAGTGGCAGGTTCTTTTTGAAAGATACCTCTTGTGCAGTCATCTTCATTTCTGTGAGGAAATACTTGTTTGTTTTCCTGCAGCCAAGAATGATATCATACCAATCCCTCAGAGAAAAGATGTGGCAACTAGGTTGTTTTTTTTTTGTTTTTTTTTTCCAATAAACAAAAAATCTTATTCATTTGGAAGGTATCTGTGTCCTGGTACAATGAACTTTAAGTAAATAGTTTGTGTTATCACTCTGATTTTGGAGATATTTTATAAGAGAAAACAACTTTAATGTTACGGGTTTGACAACCGCACGAGTCTGAGTACATGACTTTATGTTTGACTTTATTGCCATTTCTTGATTGAAATAAGAAAGTAAACATAAATACCACATGAACAAATCCTGTAAAGTTGGAAAACACGAAACAGTTCATTTCAGTTAAAATCAGTTTGGTTAAACATCGGCTGTCATGGAGCTAAGGAGTTAATCACACTGGTCACTGAAACAACTGATAAAATATTCATTTGCCATAGCAGTTTGTGCATTCTAGCGGCAAACGGTTTAAATGTGGAATTCGCCGGCTTGGCCACTGACAAAAAGTTACATGGGAACACAACCATGTTATAATTCATTATTATTATTATTTTTAAGTTTGATTGGCTTCTGAACTCTTCAATTGTAAATGATCAGTATTTGTTCCAAGCCTACAGATAAATGACGGCTGGTGCCCCAACAGACGAGATTGCACCTCCATCGAATGATGTAATTTCCAAAATGCACAATACGAAAGAATAATAAATATGTAAGCAATTCAAATTAATTAAAATTAAATAAAAAGTGTACATCGAATCATTACTTAACTTAATACGTCATGACCGAGTGAGGTATATTATATACCTCCCGCACACGTGGTTCTGGCTTTGATTTCCCCTCGACACCTAAGTTCGACTCGAGCACATCGGAACAAGCACTATTCTTCGACACGTTTCACACAAAATTATGTTGTTATAAAGTTATATTATTGTTTGTTTTTTTCCTTTCTTTCTTTCGAAAATATCACCCTGGTAAATTTTGTAACAAAGATCCTTCCACACACGCTCGTATTCCACCAACGCTCTCCGTGGTGTAACTACAGCCTGCTGCCTCTATCGAGAAAGGAAATTCCTTTCGGATCGGCCAACTTTACACAAATATATCAACTATGCATTTTAAATCAGTAAATCTAATATCAAATGATATAATTGAACAAATTTTCTAAACATAAATAATGCATTAAATGCCGTCAATAATTTACCGAACTTGCGTACTTTCAATAAGCGAAATCCATAAAATTACACTGCAGCGAGTAAGACGAAAATATAATTTTTGTATTCCCCTGAGACTCCCTCCGTCGCCGCGCAACGCGTCTGGTTGTCCAACCAAAAAATCCAATGTTGCCCGTGTTAAATCGATGAGTAAGAGTAAATGCAGTAAACCCAGTAATGCAGCCAAGATCCAAGACCCTGGAGCATTACCTGGGAAAGCACGAGGCACTGGAGAGAGCGGCAGTTGGACTCTGGTTTCAAAACTATTTCATATACATCGATATTGCTGCAATAGCTTGAATATTGAATGTCATTCCTAAAATATTAGGGGTTTCTTTCGATTAAATCTGGGGATTGTGCACCCTAAGCACGAGCCGCCACTGCTACAGATGCGTGTAGGATTGAACGACTTACGATTACAAGTGACGATATTTCTATGTTTAGAGTTAGGATATAGCCTTGTTATCCTATAATTGATAGTGAATGAGATAATGGTAAGACCATTATGCTCTCGAAATTTCTCCAAAATGTACATTTTGTTGCATCTAAATGTAATTGCGAAGAAATGTAAGAATAAAAACAAAAGTGAGAAGTAGAAGGACAGTTAATGAGAAAATGGAGTAATTGTAAAACGAATGAAGAAAATGCATTATCTATAAAGTCTGGAATTGAAGTAAAAAGAAAAAAGAATTGGTGGTAAAACAGTAAGGCCTATATACTCTCTGAACAAGGCTAAAACAAACCACCCCAGAGAAAACAAAGCATACGCACGCAAAACCAAAAGACAAAGACGCGAGATGGGCCCGAAAAAAACACAGGCAGTCAATTTAATTCCAAAGGAAAGCGAAAACGCAATTAAAAAAATAATATTTGCAGTCATGTATACAATTACAATCATGAAGCACGAGTAAAATATGATGCATGAAGAGAGAGTACAATTGCGCACATCGTGAGTGCAGAGAGTGAAGTTACATTTACTATCCAGAAATAAGACAAGGGACCATCTCAGCATTTATTGAAAGAAAGGGTTATAACCTCCTTGTCACAAAGGACCAGGGAATAGAATCGCATGGTGGGCATTTACTTGTATCCACAAGTGTTGTAAAATCTTTGTGAAACAGAACTTACAAGTACTTGTGATTACTAGTACTAGTAACTTGGTATGGTACGCAAGCTATCTATTTATGTTTAATTATATATCTTAACACGCGCATCAATGAAGTCAGGCTAGTACGAATTATTTTTATAAAACATAATGTTTTACAACTGTTTGCATCCGAAAGCGTGGGCAATTCCGAGAAACACTTCCTATTATGCCTTCACAGCAGCGCCCACATCTTTCAATGTTCGTATTACGCAACACAATTGCGTCAACGTAGTTAAAGATAAAATTAACATCATAATTCCTGTTATTTAAATTGCTCCAAGATCTCATGATTTATTTTATTAATTAATGACAATTACTTTAGTTCCTAATTTACAATATCATCAGCAGCAACAAGGTTTGGGCCTAGTGGCCCGTTCCGCTCTCAAGAGTCTCTTTCCATCTTGTGTGGGTCTGCCTCTGGTCGTTTCCCCTTTGGTTTGTAATCGAGGATAGTCTTGGGAAGCCGTTCTTGTGGCATACTGGTAGGTGTTCGAGCCAATTCTTCCTCGTGAGTCGATCTTCTCCAGTATCTGGGAGACTGTAGTTCACCTCTGATGTCTTCATTTCTCTTATGATCTAGTAGTGTATATCCTGCTAATGGTCTCAGAATCTCATTTCTGCCGCTTCGATCATTCTCCTGTCTGACCTATTGACTGGTCCAGTTTTCGCATCCATAAGTTAGCATTGGGACTCATAGTTTTGTAAAAATTTAGTTGGTGTCTTGTCTGGTCTTTTGTCTTAGTGGCTCTGCATATAGTACCGCACATTTCTGGAATTTTTGTATCTTTATATCTTTTTTGTCCCAGATGAGATGTTAAGTCCTAAATAATTAAAGTTGTTTACTTGTTCAATACTTTTCCGTTTATCACTACTTTACATCTGAGATGTGTTTTTCCTTGGAATGCCATTGTTTTCGTTTTAGAGGTTGATATCTTCAAGTTATAATTTTTCCCTGTTAACTCGAGTAATGGGCAGCTCTCTGTAGTCGTCTTCTGAAGTACTAAAAATGGCATGGTCATAAAAATAGAGTAGTGTTTAAAATTGTATGGCTCATTTTAAAATTTATAATGTATTTGTGAGATGTTTTCCTATTAGCTGAAGTACCTCAAAGGACGCCAAGGCAGGAAGCGGCAAGGTGCCGTTGCGGATCGTCTCGGTTCAGTTGTCGTCTGCTCTCGCCACACAATCGTTAATTTGCTACATGTATTCACGCAAGGCCTTGCAAGGCAGTTTCTGTTTAATATATTCTTAGTGCAACGTGAACAATGTAAATCTTATTGTGGGCAATCTACATACGCACAATTTATGTACTTAAATTATTTTGTTAATGAATGACTTGTCACAGGCTGTCGTGTGTGTGGTGTGTGTGTGTGTGTGTGTTATGTGTGTGTGTGCAGAACGTCTGGTAACTACATACAGCTGTGCAATGTGTAAAACGTGGCTCTGATAACAGTATGCACAGAATACTGTGACGTCATGGATACTCACAGCGACCACAGACACAGAGCTTTCATATAACAATATATTTATAACAAAGAAAATCAAAACAATATATACACTTAAATATCTTACTTACACCCTAGCTCTGATAGACCTACTATCCCTGACGCGGGCAGCGATCCAACCCGATGAAGATGGTTTTGATTGTGGCATTCGCCACTCCTACTTTTGAAGCGCGCACAAAGCCTAGCTTCCGTGACCGATGTCACGCTGGGACACAAAGTCCGTTCTGGCGCCACCAACGGCTGGTTTGCCTCGATCGCAGGAGCGATCTTATCCGATTGAGAATCGGCGTGAATCGTGGCACATCAACCACTCTTTCACCTCGGAGCACGCACACAGCAATCGCTCCCCGTGACCGCAGTCACCCAAGGACCTAAAGACCGCAGGCTTCGTCAACTAGTGACTCGAGCTCGCGAGCCTGCTCGCATATGCACCGTCGTGCGCCAAGTTTGTGCACACGCACGAGGTTTCTCCCCACTGTCTCCAGAACCCACCCATGCTCTGTATACCTTGTTA